GATATTACCTGCTAAACATTGCTTATATGATTCATAATGATTCTTAGCACACGTGCATATTCCTTTTTGACAAATGGAAAAGGGCACTGCACAATCACTGTTTATTTCGCAAACTCCTCCAAGATCTAAGATTTAGTGCAAAGATTTTGTCAAAAGCTATCTAATGAAATTTATCAAGAAGTAATAAAATAATAATCATTTACCTGTTGATCCTATACAACTCATTTTGTCTTTGCTCAAGCGTGTACCATCAGGACAGCCGCATGTAACGTTACACGTTAAATTGCTTTTAAAATCTTTCACGTAACAGTCTCGATCTTGTTTACAAGTTTGGCCGATCCCCGTATTTCCCCAACAAAACAGTTCACTCTCCACATAATGAGAAACATTTTCATTGCATACACATTTATTATTATTGCATACAGCATCTGGACCAAAGATATAACATTGTTCGTCCAGGTGACAATTTCCCATATATTCTCTGGTCGCTGAATAAGATAATATTGAATATCAATTTTAATGCGAATGGAAATTTTTTTACATATACATGTTTATTTATTTTATATTAATTCTATAACGCAAAAATAAAATTTATCAAAGTTGTATGTAGTTTAGCTCTTAATTAAAGTTACTTACTATCAAGACATTCGCGATTATTTTTAGATGCAACCGTGCCTTTCGAACAACTCCATCTCCCTTCACGACAAATGGATTTCTGGATGTAGCTGACGTTGTCATTTTGACAGAGTTCCCCAAGTTCTGTCGACATAAATGCCCGAATATCATAATCTGCAAAATAGTGTCTGCAACGTTAATATTACCTGGGATACATTTGGTGTCTGTGGTAGATGCGAAATGTGCACGGTCGCAACGGCATGTTCCAGCAGGATCGCATATGGCATTTTTCACTACTTTGCAGTCCTCGTCAGTCGTACAAGTACTGCCTATCCGTGTTCCTAATAGAAACATATACATATATAGAGATACTTTCAGTTTTATCAATTTATTATTATAAGGATTTTTAAATATTTTACATTTAAATTATTGTACATTTGTTACAATTTTTACTGACCATTATCCAAAAATTTTTTCGTTAATATAATGTCAGACGAAAGTTCAACAGCTTTATTGGCATATTTTATAGCACATATGAAATTATTACACGTTGCGTTGTCGAAAGAACAATCAATATCAATTGTGCATTCATCGCCGACGGCTACGCAAATAATATTATATATTACACAACATAATATTTCAATGTTGTATTATAATGCTATATTCAGCCTGTGTATTGTCATTGTAAATATGATTTTTACCTTTTCCCTCTCTTCGACAAGTGCGATATTCGCGCTGATAAAAACCACGACTACATTTGCAAATTCCTTCATCGCAAATACTTGCTTCGAAATCGGCATTCACATAGCAGTCAACGTTTTGCTTACATTTTTCGAATAAACCTACAAATTAACAATATTTTATTATATGTTTTCCATCTTTAACATTATAAAAAATAAAATAAAAAGTTCCTCACCGATGTATTGGTTACATCTACCGTGTAGATAATAGTACCCAGGACCACATACACAGACATTTTCTATACATTTAGCACCACTTAGAAGATAAGCCGAACACTGCACTGTTTCCTCGCATGTATCATATAATCTCGTTGCAACTGTGAAACGATAATTTCTTTGTTCACATAAAATTAAGTATGATAAGTATTGGAAAACAATAAAGTTTTGATGAAACAGTGTTACCTTTAACGCAAGCTGTCATATCGGTATTAAAAATATATTCAGGCGCACACTGGCATAATTGGTTACTACACACACTGTTTTTTGCTGTGCAATCATTATTAGAATTGCATTTCCATTCATTAATCCACATTAAATCATTTGTGTTGATATTTTCTTTCGATGAAACATCAATGTTAAATGTAAACACTAAAACATTTCATTTTCTGTTTCAATAATAAATAATTTTTATCTCATACTTAACATAATTTAACATATATAACTTACTATATAAAGTGTATAAAGACGTTAGACGTAAGATAATTTATTACATAGTATGTTTATATTATATAAAATATACTAATATAAAAAAAATGTTTCCATAGTTATTTTATAAGATTTTTGTGAATGTAATAACATATATCGAATTTATTATTATAATACAAATCTTGTATATACAAATCTCGTATTACTTACCATTGCAGATGAAAAAATGTAAATACAAGAAAATATATACAGCTTGCTGAATTTGTCGCATCTTTAGAACTTGTGTATATTATTACAATGTCTTCAATAATAAAGTTTAATCAGGCTGATTTCTTTTATCAAATCTAAGAGCAGTGCCGTCCTAAATAAAATATAAAAGGTGTTTTCAGTCTTGTAATTTTATTATATTATCAAGAAGATAATGATTATTGATATCTTTTTTTTTTATACTATAAATATTTTTAGAAAATTTTATTTAATTATTTTTGTATATTTTTTCATAAAGCTTACCTTATTTTCTTGTAACTATTTCTAAAATAATTATGAAAATTTATCTTTATCTTTATCTTTTGTGTAAACGTTTATGTATGTATAGTATTAAAAAACGTTCAATAGTTTATTTTTCTTGAATACGTTATATCTCTTTTTATATTTGTTCCTTATTAGAGTTTTGACATTTTGTACTTGGTTCTTTGAAATATACGATCGGCACTGTATCATGATATCATTTCGTTTGGAACACCTGTTCTGTTATCAAGAAAATAATCTTTGAAGTGTTATATGTTATTTGAAATATATCCACACATAATATAAAACGGAAGTGATACAAAATATATAAAATATTAAAAAAAAAGGAAATATTTATGAGTTTGAATGCTCTAAAGCAGTAATGCAAAATTCTTGAATTCTTCGATGTTCGATTAGTTCTGATAAATTTATTCTCTTATAGAATAAAAATTAATATAATTTTTATCAGAATTTGTTAATATACAAGTTTATTTTCATTGTTTTTATAACATAAGACTAAGAAAATAAATTTAACTTATCTAAGGAATAAAATTGCTGTTTAGGGCTCTTTTTTAAAATCATTTATTACTAGATATTTGCAATTATTTGCAGATACAACCGTACCTTTCGTACAACTCTGTCTTCCTTCATGATAAATGGATTTCTGAATATAGCTGACATCATTATTTTAAAAGGACTTTCCAAATTCTATCAATATAAATGCCTCAATATCATTACTTGCAAAATTGTGCCATGTTAATATTATCTGGGATATATTCAGTGTTGGATATGAAATATGCATTGTCACAACGATATATTCTAATAATTTAGTAGAATGACATATGGTATTTCCCATTACTCTGCGGTCCTCGTTGGTCGTATAAATTATTGTAGTTACCTATCCAAGTTCTTCAAAATTACACATATGAGTGAGACATACTTATGGTTTCATTAAGCTTTTTATTATGTATTTATTTACTATTATCATTAAGTGTTACAATAATTGTTATTTATAATTCATATATTAACTGTCTTCTAAGATTTTTTTAAATAATACGATATCAAACAAAAATCCAAAGATTTTATCGATTTCGGATATTATAGCGAAAATACATATGAATTTATTATGTGTCATTACCGAAAGTATCTACAATTAATCAATTGTACATTCAATGATATAATACTGTACTAATACTGTACTAATGACTACGCAAATAATATTAAATATTATTTTACCATATTTCAATGTCATAAACGTAAAATTTACAAATATATAATGCTTAGAAATAAGACTTAAAGTATCACAATAATTTATAAAATATATTTACATAGTTTTATTAGAGAATAAAAATTATAAATATATA